AGTAGTAGTAGTAGTAGTAGTAGTAGTGGAGGGAGTAGCAGCAGCAGAAGCAGTCACAGTAGACAGCACGGATTGCAGCAGCAGCAGCAGCAGGAGTAGTAGTAGTAGTAGTAGTAGCAGTAGTAGTAATAGTAGTTGGAGCAGAAACAGCAGGACGACGAACGACGACGACACTTCTACGACCACCAGAACGACCACCGCCGCCACCGCCACCACCGCCACCGCCGCCACGCCGCCACTACTCCTGAATACTCCTGCGGTTGCTACTGCTCGTGCTGGTGCTACTGCTACTACCACTACAACTACTGCTCCTCCCCCTCCTGCCGCGGCTGCCACTACTATCACTTACTACGACGACGACAACGACAACGACTACTACCGCTACTCCTCTACTCCACTCCTCTATTCCTACACATACTGCTACGAACTCAAGATATCCAGTAAACCCACGGCAAAAAGTCGAATCCTGCAATGTCTCTGGTCAGTCATCGTGACCGCCATCCCCAACTCGGTCCGAGTGTCGGCCGGCCGCAGGGCTGGAGCCGTCGAATGGAAAGAGGAATCTTCAAGGTGCCTCGGGCATTGACCATTCTGGTTTTCGGAGTCCCCGAACGGCGCAGCAGATATGCACAGTCAAAGTCGGCCTGTAGACTCCACAGTGACAATCTACCTGCTCTGAACCTGGGCCGAGGGTCCAATTCCAGTCGCCAGATCAGCCAGCGCCATGGAGGCTTGGAAGGATCCATCAATCAAGGAGGGCCCAAGCCAGAAGCCAACGTGAGTTCCATCCCTCTCCATCTCCAGGCGCGCAAATGACTGCTTGTCTCCTAAGTTGATCATGTTGGGACTGTCAAGTTGACCATTGACCATGAACTATTTACGCCAATGCAATGATGATGAGAATCAAACTGACGTACTCGTCGTCCTAGCAGTTGTGGGACAATAATCGGTATTAATACTCGCATTGTCATTATTTTCATTGTTTCTGGTAGCACTAGTAGTACTAGCGGTACAAAAAACATCAGTAGCAGTAGTAGTAGCAGTAG